CTTTACACAATTGATGTGTGTATGGATTGGGATAACAGTTGTATGAGCCCCTAATAAAATGTTAAAAAAGAGAAAAAAAAAATTTAAGCTAAGGGAAAAAAAAAAAAAAGTTTGATCGAAGTTCCCCAACCAAAACCAGACTCACTGCCATCGAGTGGATGCTGGTGCAGTGGCCCTACAGGACAGGGTAGACCTGTTCCTGTGAGTTCCCCAGCATTAACTCATGCCTGCTTCAAACCTACTGGCTTTGAGTTGATTTCAACTCATAGCGGCCTTATAGGACAGGGTAGAACTGCCTCTGAGTTTCTGAGACTGTAACTCTTCACGGGGGTAGAAAGCCTGCTCACTCTCCCAAGAAGCAGCTAGTGGATTTGAACTACTGACCTTGCAGTTAGCAGCCCAGTGTGTAACCACTATGCTACCAGGTCTCTTCCACACATTAACAGAATACTTTAGTTACACGGAAGTAGAGCTGAGAACGAACGATGAAGCTCACTAGACTGGGTGCTTGCCCTCTAAAGCCCTACTGGACGCTAGCTGTCCTCAGCCTAGGCTGGGGCTTCCTGGTACAGGCCAGACACTTCGGGACTCCCTTTAGGCCACGAAGAGGAGCCCTGGTGCCACAGGGGTTACGTGTTGGTCAGCAGTTCAAAACTACCAACTGTTCCATGAGAGAGAGATGAGGCTTTCTACTCCCATAAGGATTTTCTGTCTTGGAAGATGTACAGGGGGCAGTTCTACTCTGTCCTAGGAGGCTGCTCGGTTGGAAACAACTTGATGGCAGTGAGTTTGGTTTTTTGGTTACACCGCGGACTCTATATCCTTCAGGATTAGAGAGGAGCACTCCCAAAGGGAACTCCTCCAATGAGCTAGAACGGCTGCAGGGCACTCCGGGTCTGATGGTTTGGAAGCCTCTCCTATTTCTCACCTCTGGCATCATTCAGGGACAGGCCCCGAGCAAGCAAACCACTCCCTAAAGTCCGTAAATAAGGAAGACCCAGAGGAAACATTTCCAGGGAGGAGGGGGTGTAACCCCCCACCCCCTCCTCTAGGGGGTGTGCAGGCGTCTCCCAGACTCTTGTTTATTCTACCTGATGATGCCATGCCCAGTCTCCTGGGCATCCAGACTGCTTCTCCCTCACTGGCTCCCACCCTCCTGCCCTCTGACTTACAGCCACGCTCTAGCCCAGATCTGGTCAATCTTCCTGGGAGCAGACACCCTCGGCTCCATGGAGTGACTGGTGGGTCTGAACTGCAGACAGTGCCTGAAGGACCAACAGGCGAGTCTCCATAGAAGGGGCAACCTGCTGTGCTGCTTGCTGGTCACCTACTTCAACCTAACACACATGGGGGTTTCCCTGACAGGCGTGGTGCCAGGGCAGGAGCTGTAACAGCGCCAAAGCACACTCCAAAAGTAACCAAAAGTGGGGGTGGGGGTGGCGGGCGGGCTGCTAGCTAAGCAATACTTACTAGTTTGGGAAACAGTATTTTGGAATCTGGTCTCCCGCAAAGCCTGCCTTGATCACTCCTGAGCCCTGCAAGGAAACATGAAGTTTAGCTACTGCCCTTCCTCTCAAGAGCTCTACGGGGAAGGAGGGAGTTTGCAACCCCAGTAGGGCTTCGAAGGAAGCCTGACACACTGCCTGGCGCCAAACTTACTTACAAGATTTCGGAACTACCAGTGGTTCAAAAGCTGGGGCGATTTGAAGCCTCCCTTCCAGGGGATACCTGGCAACATGCGGAGCTGTTTTTGGCTGTCGATGCTCAGGAGTGAGGGGGCAGGGGGCAGGGAAGGCAGAGTGCTGCTGGCACCCCGTGAGCAGAGGCCAGGGGTGCTGCACAGGTTCGCCACCCACAACCCAAGTGCCCGCCCACAATAGCTCGAGGGATGGAGGGATGGACACCGGCCTCCAGACACACAGGGGCGGGCTCCAGGAGGTGCACTTCATAGCAAAAGCGGCTGCACGTCCAGGGACCCTAGCAGATGCCTGCTGGGAAGATAAATGGAGGCACAGAGACACATCAGGCACCTCTCCGCGAGTGGATCCCCGAGAGACTACAAAGAGAACTTAGACTTGCCACTGCTCCATCCAAAGCCGGACTTTGGCTCTAAAAAGGAATCCTGTAGCCACAAACTCCTACTCAGGGAAGGAATCTGCTTCTAGAGCCCTCTCGCCACCCACTGATCTTCGTCCCCTCTCCAAGGTCTGCCGTGCAGAAGGAGACCTGCCCCAACAAGTGGGGGAACAGGACCCCGGAGGGACCAACACGCTGTCCTCTCAACTCAGGACTGTAGGTTGCCCGGAGCGAGTTATTTGCCCACCATGAAAGGGCTGGGTCCTTCCTGTGGCAGAATTTGACAACACATCCCAAACCCAGTTCCAGCCTCATCAAATGTCGCCTGCTGTGACTCAGGCCAGCCCACGTGGAGTATTTCAGAAAGACAGCCACTCAGAGATCTCAGGGGGTCATGTGGGTGGAGAGAGATTCCAAAATATAGAAGTCATTAATCAAAACCACCAAGGTCTACATGCCGGCGTCAGGTACCCAAACTACAGAGCCCGGCCCATATTTTCTTCCCGGTCATGGCTCTGTGGCCAAAAACCCTCAGGGTGCTTCCAAAAATGGCAGCTGAAGAAGGCCACAAGGAAGCCAACTGTCTTTCTTCTGAGACTTATAATCACCTCAAACTGCTTCTGGGATCTGGGCGGCCCTGAACTCCTCCCACCGCCATGCCAGGGGACAGGGCTGGGGTAAAGCAAACAAGAGGCAGCCAGGTGTCTGTGGACAGGTGTGTTAGAAGGGGTAACTTTCGAGAAGAGGCCTGTGCACCCCGGCGGTCCAGCCACAGGGTCCAGCTACCTAGGAAGTGAATCTGTAGAGGTCACCGGGCTAACCCCTCCCAAAGCTGACCAGTCCTCAAAAGGGCAAATGCCTCCCACATCCATCGGGCCGGGCAGAAGCGCCCAGAACCCGGGTCCGAAGGAGTGGTAACGGAGCTAGGGTCATCCTTGCCCAGAGACCCCACTCTCAAGCGAGAAAAGTTCGGGGTGCGCGCCCAGGCCTGGGGCGCAGGTGCACCCGCAGGGCCGGCTCTGCCGCCACCCAGCCGGCACACCAGACGGAGCCCCCGCCTCTCCTCCATCTCCGCGCCAGACTCCACGGCGTCGGTGGGGCCGTGGCCCGGGGTTGGGGCTTCGGGGCCAGGTGGGCGCGCGGAGGACAGCCAGACTGGCGAGGGTCCCTCCCCGCGCCGCCGCGTGCACCCCCGGAGGCGGGGCGCCCCTCCCTCCGCCGGTTCGGGGCCTCACATTGTCGATCACCACGGGCTGGTTGGCGATGATGTCGTAGGACTCCATGGCCGGGCCGGGCCGGGCCAAGCCGGCCCTGCAGGCGGGCTGCAGGAGGGACGCGCGCGCGGGCGGGCGGACAGGGACCGCGGCGACTCCGGACGCGGCGCCGCGCCCCTCCCACCCGGAGCCGCACAGCCTACGCGAGCCCCTGGAGGGCGGGGCTTCAAGAGGGCGGGGCTTCCAGAGGGCTGGTCCAGTGGCCAATCCCGCTCCACCGCGGACCACGGACTGCGGGCGCCCCGGGCCGGCTGCGGGGAGAGGGGCGGGGCCTTCAAGTGCCGGCGAGCCAATTGGCGCTGCGAGTCAATCGCCGGGGCGCCGTCAAGGTAGGTTGAGCGGCGCGGGGATGACGTAATGGGTCCGCTCTTAAAGACGACGCAAGCGGCCGCTGAAAGTTGGAGCTGGGCTGGTCCGCGGACTCTGCGGGAATCGGCCCGGTGGCGGTTCTGCTATCCTGGAGGACGTCCTTCTCGCGCCCCTGACTCCGCTTCTTCGTGAGCGTGTCTTCCCACAGGAGGCCAAGCATTTCGTTACTGAGCACCGAGGAGAAGCGCTCTCCTTGTAAAAATTGCATTTTCTCGTTAATTTGGTGTGCGGGGTGTATGCAGCGCCTCCTGTATCCCTGGGGGACACCTCTACCCACTTTACAAAGAGTATATTAAATCCTGGCCAAACGCAATCAGGTAGATCGCATTATTAATTCCGTTTACGGATGTGGGAGCAGGTGTGCCCCACACTTATTTAACTAGCCCAAGGTTATTGTTGAGCTGCTGAGCTGAGCTGAATATGCATGGCTCATCCAGGCAGACACCTGACCGACTGGTCACACTCACTGCCATCAAGCCAGTCTGATCAGTAGCGACTCTACAGGACAGAGTAGACTGCCCCGAGGCTGTACGTCTGTAAGTGCACAGCTTTATGGGAGCAGGTAAACCCCAACCAAACTCACTGCCATCGAGTTACAGGACAGGGCAGAGTGCCCCTGAAGGCTATAATGCCCTGTCTTTCTCCCATAGAGCAGTTGGTGGTTTCGAACTGCAGACCTCCGATAGGAGCAGATAGATGGCCTCCTCTCTCCCCCTTGTAGAGTCAGGTGGGTTTGCACTGCCGACTTCATGGTTAGCAGCCCAATTTGTAGCCTGCTACACCTCCAGGGCGACTGACAATACAAGGTAGTCAGTAGCTAAATTCGTTTTCCAAACTGGGCCACAGTTAACTTGCCTTTATATATGCCCCACCCACTAGACTATGAGCTGGAGTTTTGAAAAACTGAAGCAGAACATCATACAAAAAGTACGAAAACCACAAAAGTACATTTTAGTGGATGACTTCAATGTGGACACACCTGTACAATCACCAGAGTTCAAGAAACAGAATATGACAACATGGTAGAAGCCTCGCACACCCCAGTTGCAGCAGAAAGATGATGTACAAAGGTGAACCGGGATGCACGGAGTCACAGGCTGGTGGGTGCAAAGTCAAGTGGATCCTGCAGCTACGTGAGTCTGAAGAGGTCTCCGTGTACCATCAGACCCATGGACTTAAGTCAGACTGGGCTGGGTTGCTGTGTTAGTCCAGGTAGACTAGAGAAACAAATTTATAGACACTCATGGGTATAAGAAAGAGCTTTATATACAGCAATTGAATATTGAGAAAACATCCCAGCCCAGTCCAGATCAAGTCC